CCTGTGTCGAGGGGCGCCAGCGTGCTGCCCCTCACTCCTCCCAGTTTCCTCCCACAGAGGCCCCGTTGCAGACGCTTCACATGGACGTGTGGGGCCCAGCCCGCGTCCGTGGACAGGGTCAGGAGCGCTACTTCCTGCTGGTGGTTGACGACTACACGCGTTACACCACAGTCTTCCCCTTGCGCAGCAAGGGTGAGGTCACTGAGGTGCTGATCGACTGGATCCGCGCAGCTCGTCTCCAGCTTCGGAGGAGCTTTGGCTCTGACTTCCCTGTTTTGCGTCTGCACTCGGACAGAGGTGGAGAGTTCTCCTCCGGCCTCCTGAGTGCCTACTGTCGTGTGCGAGGCATCCGTCAGACCTTCACGCTTCCGGACTCACCGCAGCAAAATGGGATTGCTGAGCGCCGCATTGGCATGGTCATGGACGTCGCTCGTACGTCCATGATGCATGCGGCTGCTCCCCATTTTCTGTGGCCGTTTGCGGTCAGGTACGCTGCGCATCAGATCAACCTCCACCCCAGGGTCTCTCGACCGGAGACCTCCCCAGCCCTACTGTGGACGGGGAAGGTTGGCGATGCGTCGGCGTTCCGGGTCTGGGGATCTCGGGCGTTTGTTCGCGACCTGTCTGCGGACAAGCTGTCCCCTCGTGCTTCTCCCTGCGTCTTCCTGGGGTTCCCCCCCGACGCCCCTGGGTGGCAGTTTTACCACCCCACCTCTCGACGTGTTCTGTCCTCCCAGGACGTCACGTTCGACGAGTCGGTGCCCTACTACCGCCTCTTCCCCTACCGCACTCCGTCCCTCCCCCCACCCCCGCTCTTCTTGGTACCAGGTCCCCCCCCGGTAGTCCCCCTCCCCCCTCAGGGTCCTGCCCCTTCAGGTGTGTCCCAGGTAGACGCGGTCGAGCCTGTCGAGGTCACTGGTGACTCTGGTGCTGCTGCGGGAGCTGAGCCTGGGGGTGCGGAGTCTGGGGGTGCTGAGCCTGGAGGTGCCGAGTCTGGGGGTGCTGAGCCTGGGGGTGCTGAGCCTGGGGGTGCTGTGCCTGGGGGTGCTGAGCCTGGAGGTGCCGAGTCTGGGGGTACTGTGCCTGGGGGTGCTCGGCCTGGGGGTGCTGAGCCTGGGGGTGCCGTGCCTGGAGGTACTGTGTCTAGGGGTGCTGAGCCCGGGGGTGCTGTGCCTGGGGGTGCTTCGTCCCGCCGGGAGCCACTCTCCCCACAGGAGCTGCGTGAGTGGTGTGCCGGGCGCTGGAGGCGTGCTGCCGGTGCTGGTGGTTCTTCGGCTGCAGAGGGCACTGCTGCTGTGCGCCCCGCCGGTGCTCGTACTGTGGGTGCTGGAGCTGCTGAGTCTGAGAGTTCTCCTGGAGCTGGTCCTGCTGAGGGTGTTGGCGCTGAGCCTGCCGTTGGCGGCCCGACTGACAGTGCTCCTGGTGCTGCGGCTGGAGGTTCTGGAGCTTCTGGTGGTGCTGCTGGAGGTGCTGCTGGAGTGGGTGCTCCTGCCGGGGCTGCTGGTGCTGTTCCTGCTGTTTCTAGCGTCGCCGCGCGGCCCCGACTGTACTTCGTTCCGCTCCTGCAGCAGGTTCTTGGTCTTACACCTCCTCCTCCTCCCTTAGAGGGTCCGCAGCCTGTCCGGTCACAGCCACAGCTACAGCCTGCCTCCCCTTTGCCTGCTCCTTCTCCCTACGCTGGTCCGACTGGAGGTCTTACTGAGCGTCGTGAGCGTGCGTCTCGTCCTGTGTCGCCTGTTCGTACTGAGCGCGCTAGTGGTCGCGGGTCGCGTCAGCGTCCTCCTCCTGTCCCTGGCACGCACCGGATGTCACTGCGTCCGTCCACTGCTCCTCTGCGTGCCCCTTTACCTTCTCCTCCTGCTTCCTCTCTTCCTACTCTTGACGACCCGGAGTCGGACGCTCTTCGTGCTGCCAGTCCTACTGTCACGCGTCTCCTGGCTACTGCTGTCACTGACCCCTCCTTCGAGTCGTCTGCTGCGTCTGCCCTTGTCACGGAGCTTGTCGACTTTGCTGCGCGCTGTCGTCTAGACTACGCTGCTCGTCTTGTCACTGAGTCTGAGTCCGCCTGTCCTCCGTCCGTCGGGGGTGAGTGTGCCCTTGGCACGGACGTCCTTGAGGACAAGCAGGAGGAGTTCCAGTGTCTGGCCGCCGCTTCACCTCGTCTCGCGTCTGTACTGTTAGCCCCTGAGGGAGACCCGGATGCACCAGACATCCCGACTCCGCGCTCTTACGCGGAGGCGATAGAGGGTCCCTACTCCTCTCAGTGGCAGGCAGCTATGGATGCAGAGATGGCTTCCTGGAAGTCCACAGGCACCTACGTTGACGCTGTTCCCCCTCCTGGGGCAAACATCGTCAGTGGCATGTGGATTTTCAGGGTGAAGCGGCCGCCGGGTTCTCCGCCTGTCTTCAAGGCGCGTTACGTGGCTCGTGGCTTCAGTCAGCGGCAGGGGGTTGACTACTTTCAGACCTTCTCCCCCACCCCGAAGATGACCACTCTTCGGGTTCTGCTACACGTTGCTGCTCACCGTGATTACGAGCTGCACTCTCTCGACTTCAGCACAGCTTTCTTGCAGGGCAGCCTACACGAGGAGATCTGGCTGCGTCGCCCACCTGGCTTCACTGGGTCTTTCCCTCCTGGTACCCAGTGGAGTCTCCGGCGTCCAGTCTACGGTCTCCGCCAGGCGCCACGTGAGTGGCACGACACACTGAGGACTACGCTCGCGGCACTTGGGTTTGCTCCTTCCACTGCCGACCCGTCGCTGTTTCTGCGCACCGACACCTCTCAGCCGCCGTTCTACATCCTCGTGTACGTCGACGACTTGGTCTTTGCCACAGCTGACACTGCTGGACTCGCCTATGTGAAGTCCGAGCTGCAGAAGAGACACACGTGCACTGACCTGGGTGAACTGCGCAGCTACCTTGGCTTGCAGATCACCCGGGACAGAGCACGCCGCACCATTACCCTGACTCAGTCACACATGGTGCAGCAGGTCCTTCAGCGCTTCGGCTTCACGTACTCCTCGCCTCAGGCCACTCCTTTGCCTACTCGCCACTCGCTCTCAGCTCTGCCTTCGGATGAGTCCGTAGAGTCGAGTGGCCCGTTTGCAGAGCTTGTTGGCTGCCTCATGTACCTGATGACCTGCACACGACCTGACCTCGCATACCCTCTTAGCATTCTTGCACGCTTTGTTGCTCCTGGGAGACACCGACCAGAGCACATGGCTGCAGCGAAGAGGGTGTTGCGCTACTTGTGCAGTACGTCGGGCATGGGGCTAGTGCTTGGAGGGCGCAGTCCAGTGGTCCTCACTGGGCACGCAGACGCTTCTTGGGCTGACGACCAGGCTACGCAGCGGTCGTCACAGGGTTACACCTTCAGCCTTGGTTCCGGCTCTGTCTCGTGGCGGGCTACCCGCTCGTCTTCTGTTCTCGGCTCCAGTTGTGAGGCTGAGATCTACGCTGGGGCTATGGCTGCACAGGAGTTACGCTGGCTCACGTACCTGCTGACCGACCTTGGAGAGCAGCCTCGTTCTCCTCCAGTCCTGTACGTAGACAACAAGGCCATGCTGGCCTTGTGTCGAGAGCAGCGACTGGAGCACAGAACGAAGCACATTGCTCTTCGCTACTTTCTTGCTCGTGAGCTACAGCAGCGTGGACAGCTGCGACTTGCGTACGTGGCCTCTGAGGCCAACACTGCTGATGTCTTCACCAAGGCACTTGCGCCTTGTGATCATCAGCGTTGCTGCACGCAGTTGGGTCTTGTGCCTGTCTTGCCTCACTTGCTCTCCTCTTGACCTTGCTTGTACTTTCGCATATATATACTCTTGCTCTTGTATATCTCTATATATGATCTTGCATGTGAACTGGCCTTCTGGCCTTTGAACTTGTGCTCGGAATGCGTGGTGACTTTGTGATCCACCCTGAGCTTTGCTTTGCTTTGCTTGACAGGTCTTGTGACCCCTTGTTCTCCCCCACTTTGCCTATGGGGGTGTGTCAGAACTTATAGCTTACTTGTTTCTGTAGGCTATAGTGGGGTATCCCATAGGGGGTACAACACAATTAGGGTTTCCTATTTGTACTCACTTCGTTCATAGTCATTCCACTTCTCGTTCGTACTTTCTCACATATAGCATAGAAACCAAATAAGGTGCACCACCAACAACAGTTTAAATAACTACACTAACTACAACTACAAGCAGTTATAAAACATGACAATATATTTCGACAACCAGCTGTCATTCCTTGACAGGCTGGCATACTCAACTTAACACAGCACTAGGTTCAATCAGGCCATCCGTTGTTTCAATTACTATATTTCGAGCATGAAATTCAAGTCCTGCGTCATTCGGAGCATGTGGCATGAATATATATTGCATCAAACAATTGAGTAAGGAAAAATGTGCAACGATATGCATGTGCGACACGTAATGCCGCTTCGATGTCCAATTTTATATTCATTTTTATTTTATTTAAAAACAGCTATTTCGATAAATGAAACATCTACTACATTGCGAACATGCTGCATAATTATGGTGCCATTCGCAACATCTTTTATGAATATACGTTGCTTCAAACAATTAATGAGGAAAAATTGTGCAATATACATGATTTGCTTTTCTAAAATGCTTATGATTGCTTAGTATAACCCTGAAACAAACATGCGTGTATTCACAGAACAAAGAAATAATAAACCTTTTTTTTGGTATTTTCCATATATCTGATAAGACTCGTTATAAATTTCCCTGCACATATCGAACATTGGTGTTGAATTTCGAGCGAAGGGCATCTGAACAGTGTCGCGCCAAATACTGCCAGCTGTGCTCTCAAAGAAACCTGTTTCCACAGCAAAATGTGACACGAGCGACAAAATTTCTGCAAGCAGGTTGGCGCCAAACCGAAACCACCGCGGCCAGACCACATTCGTAGCTTCGGATCCGCACACAACCAATTTCCCACCAAAAGTTACTTCGCCAAACCAACAGTGCCTATTTGGGATTGGTTGGATGCGATGTTATACCTTCGAGTTACTTCGAACTGAATGTGTTTGGTTGCTTTCCGAACCTGGAAATCTGCGAGAGAGTAACTGCACAGAAACCTGACATACCAACAACATACACACAACCAACCCCCCTTGAAAGTTGACTTTTCAAAACATACGTCACACCCCTCCCCATTTTTGAGATGCGCAAATCCGCTCGCGGCGTCGCCTTGCCGCGACACGCTGCCACCTCACGCCACCGCGATCGCGCTGGCCGCGCCACACACTGCGGGCCCTCGTGCTCCACCCAATATCCACTTTCCACTGCCCGCTTCCTTTTCCGCCTCCCGATCTCGCCTTATGCCTCTCGTTCTTCCCTTCGGGCCTCCCGTTCTCCCCTTACCGCCTCCCTGCATCCCCGTGTCCCCATAATCTCCCCATCCCAACCCCATTCCACCACATCCCTACCTGCATCTTCCCTTCCCTCCCTTCCCTGCCTTCCCTTCCTTACCTTCCTTACCTTCCTTACCTTCCTTACCTTCCTTACCTTCCTTACCTTCCTTACCTTCCTTTTTCTCCCTTCTATGCCTTCCCTGCCTTCCCTGCCTTCCCTGCCTACCCTCCCTTCACTCCCTTCCCTCGCTTCCCTGACTCCCTGCCTTCCCTGCCTTCCATCGCTTCCCTCCCATCCCGTTCTTCCCTTCCCGCATCCCCATTTTCCCTTTCTGCCTTCCCATTCCCCTTCCCGCCTCCCCATCTTCCCTCCCTTCTCTCCGTTCCCTCCCTTCTCTCCCTTCTCTCCGTTCCCTCCCTTCCCTCCCTTCTCTCCGCTCCCTCCCTTTCCCTCCCTTCTCTCCCTTCCCCCCCTTCTCTCCCTTCCGGCCCTTCTCTCCCTTCCCTACCTTCTCTCCCTTCCCTCTCTTCCCTCCCTTCCCTCTCCCTTGTCTCCCTTCCCTCCTTTCTCTTCCTTCCCTCCCTTCCCCCCTTCCCTCCGTTCCCTCTGTTCCCTCCTTTCTCTCCCTTCTCTCCCTTCCCTCCCTTCTCTCCCTTCCCTCCCTTCTCTCCCTTTCCTCCCTTCTCTCTCTTCCCTCCCTTCTCTCCCTTCCCTCCCTTCCCTCCCTTCTCTCCCTTCCCTCCCTTCCCTCCCGCCTCCCCATCTTCTCAACCCCTCTTCCCTTCCCCTCCTTGCATCCCCATCTTCCCGCCCTGCATACCTCTCTCCCCTCCCTGCATCCCCATCTCCCCTCCCTGCATCCTCTGTAAACCTTTCCCTGCTTCTCCTCACTTCTCCCCCGCCCCCTCCTGCCTCTCATCATTTTCTCCCCTGCTTCCCCTCATTTCCCTTCCTCACTGTGCCCTCCGCAGGCCTCCCTGCTATACTATTCCCTCTTGTTACCTTCCCTGCCGTCCCCCCTACGATGGAAGCGATCTCAATGTGCTTCTCCTCACTTCTCCATCTGATTCCCCTCACCCTCCCCCCCGACCTGATTCCTCTCATTTCTCCCGCTGATTCCCCTCATCCCCCCCCCCCCCCTGATTTCCCTCATATCCCCCCCCCCCCCCCCCCCCCTGATTTCCCTCATATCCCCCCCTCCCTCATTCCCCCCCCCCCTGATTCCCCTCATATCCCCCCCTGATTCCCCTCATTCCCCCCCCCCCCCTTGATTCGCCTCATATCCCCCTCCCCCCCCCCCTTTATTCCCCTCATCCTCCCCCCCGTTAATTCCCCTCATTTCCTCCCCCCTTGATTTCCCTCAGTTCCCCCTGATTCCCATCATTTTCTCCCTGATTCCCCTCATCACAGCCTGTGGTTGAACCATGACCATTTTCTTATTCCCCGCCCTCAGATTCTTTCCCCTTCCCTGACAATTTCAGTGACTGACTGCTCTGAAGATTTCAAGCTTCAACATGCCTCACCCCATCATCTCATGCCAAAGGAGCTAATATTTGTTGCCAAAGGCATAGAGAAAGGGTCAATAGTATGGTATTGCTCCTCTTGGCCTTTGCCTACAGTCCAAAGTTATATGAGAACATGTTTCTTTCCACCCGTATGTGATGTGACACCTGTCCATGCATCTCGGAAGGATAAATTTCACTGCTGAATCGCGGTAGTACGTAGTGGGCTCCTTCATGACGCATATCTCTGGGAATAACTCACTACCATACTTGCATTACGATGCACAATGCACACGGGACAAAACAAAAGTGGTAACAAACATCCACTAGCTAGGCCTCTGCTTGTACGGTAACTGCTGCCCTCTGTTTCAACACAGCCAACTTGCAGAGTAGGCAAAAACGGTTGTGTAAGGCCCAATGGGAAGGTGCTGTGAGGCAGGAGGGGAGAAGCAACAAAGAAATTTAAGCAAGTGATGGCACTACATGCACAACTTCTAGAGGGAAGACGGTTACGAGTGAGTGAGGGGGGAGAGGAGGGCATGCAAGGGAAGGGAGGGAGGCAGGATGTGAAAGGGGAGGGATGCAGGGAGGGAAAGGAGGGGATTCAGGGGGGGAAAGGAGGAGATGCCGGGGGTAAAGGAGAGGATTCAGGGAGGGAAAGAAGGGGATGGAGTGCAGGGGGAGAAAGGAGGGGATGCAGGGGGAGAAAGGAGGGGATGCAGGGGGAGAAAGGAGGGGATGCAGGGGGAGAAAGGAGGGGATGCAGGGGGGAGAAAGGAGGGGATGCAGGGGGAGAAAGGAGGGGATGCAGGGGGAGAAAGGAGGGGATGCAGGGGGAGAAAGGAGGGGATGCAGGGGGAGAAAGGAGGGGATGCAGGGAGGGAAAGGAGGGGATGCAGGGAGGGAAAGGAGGGGATGCAGGGAGGGAAAGGAGGGGATGCAGGGAGGGAAAGGAGGGGATGCAGGGAGGGAAAGGAGGGGATGCAGGGAGGGAAAGGAGGGGTTGCAGGGCGGGAAAGGGAGGGAAAGGAGGGGATGCAGGGAGGGAAAGGAGGGGATGCAGGGAGGGAAAGGAGGGGATGCAGGGAGGGAAAGGAGGGGATGCAGGGAGGGAAAGGAGGGGATGCAGGGAGGGAAAGGAGGGGATGCAGGGAGGGAAAGGAGGGGATGCAGGGAGGGAAAGGAGGGGATGCAGGGAGGGAAAGGAGGGGATGCAGGGAGGGAAAGGAGGGGATGCAGGGAGGGAAAGGAGGGGATGCAGGGAGGGAAAGGAGGGGATGCAGGGAGGGAAAGGAGGGGATGCAGGGAGGGAAAGGAGGGGATGCAGGGAGGGAAAGGAGGGGATGCAGGGAGGGAAAGGAGGGGATGCAGGGAGGGAAAGGAGGGGATGCAGGGAGGGAAAGGAGGGGATGCAGGGAGGGAAAGGAGGGGATGCAGGGAGGGAAAGGAGGGGATGCAGGGAGGGAAAGGGGGGGATGCAGGGAGGGAAAGGAGGGGATGCAGGGAGGGAAAGGAGGGGATGCAGGGAGGGAAAGGAGGGGATGCAGGGAGGGAAATGAGGGGATGCAGGGAGGGAAAGGAGGGGATGCAGGGAGGGAAATGAGGGGATGCAGGGGCGGAAAGGAAGGAATGCAGGGAGGTGCGTGCATGCCGGCGGAAAAGGGAGTGCGTGCGGGGCTAGTGAATGCGCACGGGGGGAGCAAGTGCGCGCGGGGGGAGCGAGTGCGCGGGGGGAGCGAATGGAGCGAGTGCGTGCGGGGGGAGCGAATGCGCGGTGGGGGAGCGAGTGCGTGCGGGGGGAGCGAGTGCGTGCGGGGGGAGCGAATGCGCGGTGCTGGAGCGAGTGCGCGCGGATCGAATGCGCGCTGGGGAGCAAGTGCGCGCGGAGGGAGCGAGTGCACGCGGGGAAAGCGAGTGAGCGAGGGGGGATTGAGTGCGCGCGGGGGGAGCGAGTGAGCGCGGGGGGAGCGAGTGCGCGCGGGGGGAGCGATTGCTCACGGGGGGAGCGATTGCGCGCGAGGGGAGCGAATGCGCGCTGGGAGAGTGAGTGTGCGCTGGGGGAGTGAGTGTTGTCAGTAGATCTGCACTGTGGATGCCCGATTGATCCTGGAGAGGGTTACAGGCGCGTTCGCCTGAGGGGTTATGGGCGCACTGACCCGCTACTGAAACAAGCCCTTTTATCCCAGTGGTCTAGTGACTGGGATTCTGACAAGTGTGCGCTGGGGGATGTCAGAATGAGAACTACAGCGGAATGCGTTGTGTTGACAGAATTGGGGTACATCACCTAACCCTAACTAGTTGTACCCCATATAGCCCAACCCACTACAGGCTATAATATTTGACACACCCCCATAGCCTAAGTGGGGAAGGCCAATCAACAACAAGCAACCTACGGTCACAAGACAAGTCAAAAACAAGAGAAAGAAAACAAAGCTCAGGGTGGATCACAACGTCACCACCTAATCTGAGCACAAGCAAAGGGCCACAAGGCCAGTCCAAAAGTGTGCAAACAAATATATATATATATATATATATATAAGGTACAAGCAAGCAACAGACAAAGAGCACCCTACAGCAGTCAACTAGACCCAGTCTCAACAAGGCCTAACTGCAGACAAAACCGACGGTGGTCACAAGGCTTGAGGGCCTTGGTGAAGATGTCTGCAGTGTTGGCCTCGGAGGCCATAAAGTCCAGACGAGCCTGTCCGCGTCTCTGCAACTCTCGAAGGAGGAAGTACCTGACGTCGATGTGCTTCACTCGGCTCTCCAGTCGAGGCTCACGACACAGGAGAATCATCGCCCTGTTGTCAGCAAACAGGGTCGGTGCAGAGCTCGGCCGCTCACCAAGGTCAGTGAGCAAAAAGGTCAACCAGCGTAGCTCCTGAGCAGCAAGGGCCCCAGCGTAGATCTCGGCCTCTGCGGTAGAAGTCGCAACAGAGGAGGACCGAGTAGACCTCCACGAAACAGCTCCAGAACCCAGGCTGAAACAGTAACCCTGCGTAGACCTCTGAGTCTCAACGTCGTCAGCGTAGGAAGAGTCACAGTGACCGGTGAGTACAACTGGCTGTGTCCCTCCAAGTACAAGCCCCATGCCTGATGTCGCGCCAAGGTACTTCGCCACCCTCTTAGCCGCCGCCCAGTGAACAGGACGGTGTCTCCCAGTCGCAACAAAGCGAGACAGGATGCTAAGGGGGAAGGCGAGGTCCGGGCGAGTGCACGTCATCAAGTACATGAGGCAGCCCACCAGCTTTGCGTAGGGACCACTGGGCTCGAACGGCTCATCAGGAAAAGGCCCAGTGAGTCTGTGGTCTACAGCAAGAGGAGTGGGGGCAGGAGAAGAGTCTTGAAGCCCGAACCGCTGAAGAACCTGCTGCACCATGTGTGACTGAGTGAGAGTGATGGTGCGAGCCGCTCTGTCCCTGGAGATCTGCAAGCCAAGGTAGCGGCGCAGTTCCCCAAGGTCAGTGCAGGTGTGTCTCTTCTGCAGTTCGGACTTCACCTCCGCCAGTGCAGCTGTGTCGGCCGTGGCAAAAACCAAGTCGTCAACGTAGAATAGGACGAAGAAAGGTGTACGGCCACGACGAACAAACATCGACGGGTCGGCGGAAGACGGCTCAAACCCGAGGTCGGAGGGAGTAGAGCGGAGAGTGTCGTGCCACTCACGGGGTGCCTGGCGGAGACCGTAGACCGGTCGTCTGAGGCTCCACTGGGTCCCAGGCGGGAAAGTGCCAGTGAAGCCCGGAGGACGACGCAGCCAGATCTCCTCGTGTAAGCAGCCCTGGAGGAAGGCAGTGGAGAAGTCAAGAGAGTGTAGCTCGTAGTCTCTCTGCGCTGCTACGTGCAGTAACACCCGAAGAGTGGTCATCTTCGGGGTGGGCGCGAAGGTCTGAAAGAAGTCAACCCCCTCGCGCTGACTGAACCCTCTAGCCACGTAGCGTGCCTTGAAGACTGGGGGAGATCCCGGCGGCCGCTTCACCTTGAAGATCCACATGCCGTCAACAATGTTCGCCCCTGGGGGGGGAACCTCGTCAACGTAAGTGCCTGTGGACCTGTAGGAGGCCATCTCTGCGTCCATGGCAGCTCTCCACTGAGAGGCCCAAGGCCTTGACACTGCCTCAACGTAAGTGCGAGGAGAAGGTATGTCAGGAGCGTCGGGGTCTCCCTCAGGAGTGAGCAGCATGGCACAGAGATGAGGCGAAGCAGCTGCCAGGAACTCTAGCTCAAACTGTCTGTCCTCTAGGACGTCACAGCCAAGGGCACACACACCCCCGGCGGACAGAGGACGGACAGGAGGAGCTGCCACAACTCGAGTGGCGTAGTCAAGGCGACGCGTAGCAGTAAAGTCAGTGACAGCGGTAGTGAGGACCGCGACGGAGGAAGGAGAGGCACGAGGGTCTGTAACAAGAGAGGCGAGAACACGAGAGAGAGTGGGGCGGTACGTGCGGTAGTAGTCAGTGACCGGAGTGGACAGGGAGGCAGTGAGGGAAGACTCAGGAGGACAAGGAAGGACAGACGGAGGAGAACGAGGAGGACGAGGACGAAACAACACGGTACGGAGGTCAGTGACAGGGGACGAGGGACGGGCACGAGGAGGGCGAGAGGCCCAAGTGTGGG